TTTTTGTGGGTTTTTTTTGGTTTTTTTTTCCCGGAATTTTAAAAAAAAACACTTTTTTTTTTTTTTTTTGCTTTGGTTGAACAAATTACTCCACTGCAATTTGATATAGACCGTGAGTTTTAAATCACAGCCCGCGTTCTCCCACAGGACGAAAGCTCTGGTCCCTGTTATCTCCCCGTGCCTTTGTTCCCCATCCAGACCCCATATCCCATGAGCATCCCATGGATACTTCCCCACTCCAGCTCTGTGTTTTGAAGGCGCCTGCTGGAGAAGGAGCAGATGCTCTGGCTCAGACAGAAGCAGGGCTTCTTGCTTGGAGAGCTGCTGAATCCAGCCCTGCTCTGGGGGAGGAGGCTCTGGCCAAGAGGAACATCCCGAAATGCTCGGCAAGCCTTTTTTTGCCGACGTGGTGTAAAAATACTGCACGTGCCTCTGCAGGTCTGACCTGGGCTCTCGAAAAGCCTTAGACTTTGGCTGGAATCAGATGGTTGGCGTTAAACACATTCACTGGAGAATGACGATTAGAAGAACAAAACCAAGGCGCAAAGCAAACCTCACACTGTCAACTTCCAGTTCAATGTACATGAGTTTAGCAAAACAGCCTATATCTAACTCCTGGTTTTAAAGGGAATGGTTTTATTCTTAATTACAGTAAACACGGATGAGGACTTCTTTCTAACTATTAGTTTATTAACACAGTGGGAAACAAATAGTTCTGGGAAATTGCACTTGAAAAATACATCAACTATAATTAGATGTAAATTAATTAGCACTTAGTATGACACACTAATGAGACAGAAGGTTTTTTTTTCATTGCAAACTTCTACTTCTATCATAGCTAATCAAAGTATTTTAATATTACGAAGTCTCAAAAAGTAGGAAATAATTTATTGTTTGAAAGCATAAAGATTCTTGTAAAAAAAACCTTTCATCAAGAACTTTAATAATTTTAGAACTCTTATGTTGTCCTAGCCGAAAAGTAGGTAAAAAAGTTTTCTTGTCTGCCTCTGAATTTTTTTTAAAAAGCTTGTGTAACATCTTTCTCCATAGTGTGTTGATACAGAAAGTAGCACAACATTTTCTACTTTAAATCGTTCCCATTGCTCCATTCGCTTTAGCTCTCAGAGTTCAGAGGTTTGAAAAAGGATCCCAGCAGAGTTTTAACCTGAATGGAAACTCTTAATAAGCAGGGATGAAGGCTCCAATCCATCTCCACCAAAATAACGATGTCGCTTTGCCAGGCTGAGGGCTAGGCAGAGCTTAACAGCGACTAGGGGAAGACTTTCGCTTAAAATTGAGAATTGTGTCTTGGTTCTTGCAAGGAGAGAGGCTTAAGCAGGGCTTACCTGGGGGGCAGAAGGGGTTCAACTTGCTTTTTGGCATGTTAAGGCAGCTCCTCCGGGACTTCCCTGGAGGACTTGGTTCCACTAGCTGAAAGCCTCGTATCCAAAACACCACCGAGTCACTGACGCTGTGGCCATCGCAGGATAAATTAAGACTAAAGAGTTTGGCTGAGATCTCCCACCGTCAGTGAGCCGAGCTTTCCAAATCATGATTGTTTTTCTTGTCACCACTTCTCTAGTCTTCCGGTAGCAAAGATTTTCTGGGCAAAGACGACAGGTATATTCAAAGGAAGTTACAGGAATTAGATGCTCCTCTCTCACTGCACCTAATTCATCCAAGGGGAATCGGGCACCTCATTCTCATATGGCTTGGTCGAGTGGTCGCTAAAATCAACATGAGTACTATTAAATTAAATTACCTTTGAGTCAGGCCCTCGAGCTTTGAGATTCCAAGCCTAAGTGTAAAAAATGAAAGCAGGAATTTAAAAGAAAAAAAAACATTTCAGACTTTTTTAGAAACATACAGAAGCAAAGGGTACAAATTCGTTCCCCTCTTAGGTGATGCATAGAGTTTTCTGTGGGCTCTCTGCACGTAAGTAGATTCATCATTACAGAATAAATTAAATTAGGTCGAACCATCATTTCCATCTAAAAGCAACTATACTTTGCACCATGCGGCACTTATTCATAATAAAAAGAGTTTAATAAATATCTCATAAACGGTGATTATTTTTGTTCTATTTTAAAAAATACAAAGTTGTCATCCATTCTGTTAACACTCAGTTCCCATCGCTGCAGGAAGTTTTGCTAGTCCGAACGTATTAGCTTCTCATTTTCTTATGCACATTGCTTAGATATCTTAGTTCCCAGTAGCGTTAGTGTTGCACTTGTGAAGCAGTAAGGAAAACAAGAATGCAGTCGCAGGGAACCGGCGGCTTCGCCTGCGTGGGCCACCCCGGCTCAGCTCTGCTTCTCGCTCTTGCTATAAGTAGTCTATAGGGGCTCCTGACAGACAGCACTCAGCACCTTGCCGGATCAGGCACTAGGGCTAGTCGAAATAAGAATTCAAGTTTTCTAAATGTTAGGCAAGAAATGATATTTGCAAATATGCTCAAGTCCCACCTACTTTAATCCTTCCCTTTCTAGGTGTTTGAAGATGCACCCACCCTCTTCTCCCCCACCTGCATTGCCCCAGGGGACCCCTTACGCCCAGAAATGGGAGACCCCCTTACCACCTCATCAGGGAGTCTGTAATGCTCAGTACGCGGGTGCTCTACGGTTTCAGTAGCACAGGTCAGTTTTAGAAAGTGTTGCCTTCAAAAATATTTTTTCTTTTTTCTTTTTTTTTTTTTTTTAAAGAGGCAAAGCTTATGCTATGTCAAAGAAAAGTGGCGCACTTGATGAGTAGTTCGTATTCATCCTTCCGCTTGGTTATAAATCATATTTGCAAGTTTGTATTAAGGGATCTCAATATTAGAAAAAAAAAAAAAGTCATACAATAATTTTTCTGTAATCCTTTAAAACACACTGGTGGCAAGTCCTTTGCAGTTTCTCCAAGACTTTGTACACACCACAAAAGTGCAGGAACATGAACTGCCTTCATCTCGTGACATCAAGAACTGAAAGAAACAAACTCCTAATAGCTTCAAAAAAAAGCTACGAGCGTGTAATATCTTTATGTTGGTCCAGAGGATCTCCACTTGCTACCTCAACACATGCCACAATTAAAGAGGTGAGAGGGTATTTTAACATCGCTCCTTCTCTTTCATGACAGATCCATTCTGTTTCGTTATTTCTTCAAAAAGCGCGAGGGAGGAAGGTACTTCAAACAGGTGTCGTTCTCCTGTTGACCATGTTGACATGGAGTCCTTCCTTAAATTCCTTCTGAAGGAAGTTGTGAACCTGCAGAAAACTGGCTTCTTGGTCTGCGTTGTAGCTGGCAGCCGTTGTAACCTTCAAAGGCTCTCTGTAAAGAGTGTACATGGAAATTTCGTTCATGGGGATGGTGCTTGCTATCTTCATGCCAACTGGAGAAATGTCTCTAGATGGAGAAGGCTCTGTAGATCGAGAACTGGATCTGGACCTCCGCCTCCTGTACCTATAACTTGGCATCCTGGCATAAGGAGAACTGGAAGAAGTCTTAAGGAATTCTCTCTTGGTCTTAAACCTCAGCTCTTTGTTCTTCTCAATATATATGTTCACAGCCAGAACACCTATGGTTTCGGCCACAATAAAAGACAAGGCTCCAAAATAAAAAGACCAACCATAGTTGTAATGGTTCTTTTTGTCCTCATCTCGCTTGTCACTTGGGTCACCTGCATTGCTTGATATGTAGACAATGATCCCTATGATATTACTTAGTCCTAGAGAGAGAAAAACATGAATTGGTGGTTATGTGGCTGGGAAGATAAAATTCAAGCCATGTTACTTTCTGGACCTAAATGGTTCAAAGATTATGACCAGGAAATTTTATTACATTTATTTACTCTTTCATTTATTCTTGAAAAGCGAAGAATAGATACCTCTGGGTCACATATGCTCGCATGG